CCCCAAAACCCCAAAACCCCATAGATGCTTCATTTAGATTTTTAATTGTTTAAAAGTTTAAATTAAAAGCTTAAATCCAGCATTTTAAAATACCTATTTATATCAGAGAATATTATAAATTATTTTTGTAAATCCTGAATTCAATTTGCTCAATTATTGCTAATTATATGGTTAAATTATAAAAATGAAAAAAACTTCACAAAATTAAAACCACCAACCCAAATATGCTGTATTTAACAGCTCTTGAAATCTGACTTCGATACTTTTGGATTAGAATGATTGCGGTAAACTTGGATTTACCAAGCAATATTCCAAGGTATTGGATCCCTCCCCCTTATGTCCTCTGGCATTGTCAACTAGCTTGGGGTAAAAGAATAGTACTGACCTTGGGACTTTCTCTGATTCTTCATGGTACAGTATGGCATAATTCTAGCTTAAAGATATTATCACCAGGATTCTGATAACTGGCCTTATAGTGAAAAATTTTACTAAATAGTAAATATTATTGTACCAAAAGTTAGTGGATTTATGGGCTCAATACTATGGTTGGCTGCTGGAAAGTATATCAGTGAATGTTCAAAACAGAAGAGATTAAAGTATTTTACTTTAGTTATTTTAGATGATCTACATGCTGTCATAAGTATTTGAAAATCTGATAGCAGCCCTAGTCTTGAGATGGATTAAATTAGCTATTTCATAATCGTGTCAGACATATTATTTCTTGCCTCAAAAAGTTTAGCATTTTTAAGGTAGCTAAGAAGATTGAATTGCAAGGAGAAGAGAATGATTAATTGCTTAATTCATACAATATCAATCTGAGCTCATCGGCATAGAGCAGTGAAAGCTACCCCAGAATTTAGCTATAGGACTGTCTTTTTATATAGTCATGTTCCTATGTAAAGAGGGATTTGGAACTATGTACTAGAAGTATTGTAATAAATTATTTCAAATAGGATGCTTTCTTTTTATCTCAGCTCTTTTGAATTGGTGTTAGAGTTTCTATTTATTATGGATTAATTGTGACCATAATCTAAACTTCCATAACAGAAAAAACTATTGACAAGAAGAATGAAAAATATATGCTTGCGCTTTGGTGGCTTTGGATTTGGAGAAATATTTGGAGCGTTGATTATTGTTTAAATAGTATATCGAGTCAATAATCGAATTGCAACCTTATTTAACTGTCTGTCAATAGTTGTAGCTTCAATACTCATAATTATATTCGTGAAATATAAGCAGTATAACTGGTTCACGTTTCCTAAGTTTAAAATTATGCTATAATTTAAATTATAGGATAGGATAGGATCAGTTTTACTTATATGTTTTTATTAAGTATTCAAAAAATATTTTTACACTAATTTTCAATTAATATTTTACTATCTCTCTGATTTTAAATATTGTTAGCTATGGGGTTTTGGGGTTTTGGGG